TGGTTTTTTGGGTTTTTGCTTCCCCTCTGAGAGGCAGGTCTTGGAGCTGCCGGAGACTCCTGACCTGGGTCCTGGAGACGGAGGGGCTCTCTGAGGGCGCTGGGAGGGAAGGAGCTGCTGGTCACTTCTCTCTGGCCCCTCCGCCTGTGGGAGCAGGCGCCGGGGAACTGGGAATGACCCTCAGCTGGTTCTCACTCTTGGGGGGTCAGGGTGTGCCTGGGTCTTGGTTGTCCCTCTGTGGGTCCTGGGCTGGAGGACTGGATGCTCTGAAGTCTCAGCTCCCCTGCCAGGGATCTCTCCCTTTCCACGGGGTTTCCAGGAGTCGCTCTGTAACTCACAGCATGGCTTCACATCACCTCATGCGGGAGGTAGGATGGGGGGAGGGGCATTTTAATCAATCCACCCAAGTCCTGAACCCCCTTCAGGGCTCCATACACTTAAGGTCGGAGCTGAGCTGGTGTTAGAGAATCGGGACTGAAGATGGGGTGTCATTCTGGGCAGGGGCCATGCATGGACAAAGGCCCGAAAGTGGGAGCTGCTAGCCTGGTGTTGGGTGGAGTTGAAAGAGCATTGCCACCTTTGGTGAAGAGGCTGTGGGGGCAGATCTGGCTAGAAAGGTGGGCACAGGCCTTGCAGCCGCAGTGTCCAGTGTGGTAGCCAGTGGACACAGGGGGCTATTTAAATTACAATGAAATGAGCCCTTGCCTGTAGTTCAGTGGTTAGAGCATTGACGCTTGGACAGAAGTGTCTTGGGTTCAATTCCCAGTTAGGGCATGTACCTCGATTGCAGATTCATCCCTGCCCCATTCCAGGTGCGTGCAGTAGGCAACCGATCGATGTGTCTCTCACATTGATGTTTCTCTGTCCCCTCTTCCTACTCTCTCTAAAAATCAATGGGAAAAAAATATCCTTGGATGAGGATTAAAAAATGACAGTGAAATTAAAGGAAAAATTCACTTCCTCACACTGGCCCCGTTTCAGTGCCCTGAACAGCACAAGCGTTCCCATCCCTGAGGCAGCACAAGCACGGCTGTGGGCACCAGGCGAGAATCTTGGGCTTTTCCTGGGGGTGTGGGTCAGGAAGGGGTTTGAGCAGCACAAAGGGCTGGGTCATCTGGGTTTGAGATCTGCCCTTTGGGTAATCTTTCCTTGGACATTCCAAGGCAATTCCCAGCTTTGCCCCATCAACTAACTAAGGGCCCTGCATCTTCATCCTTTCTCTTTGTTGACCTTTGCTTTTTTTTATCTGTGAGGTAAGGTGGTATTAGATTCTGTATCCACTCATTCATTTTTCGTTCATTCATACATGTACTGACCACTCACTATATTACTTCCTCTTGTTGCTGTAACAAATTACTGCAAACTTAGTGTCTTAGAACAAACGTTTCTATTCTAGGTCTGAAGTCTGAGATGGTCTCACTGGGCTGACACACCCCGGTGTAGGCTCCCCGGGGCTCCAGGGGAGACTTTCTTGGCTTTGCAGCTGGTCGCAGCTGTTCACACTCCACCCCCCTTCCACAGGCAAAGACCACAAGGCCAGGCGAGTCTTTCTCATGCACATCGCCGCTCTGACACCCCATCTTTGGTCTTTTTCTCCCACATTTAGACTCGGGTGACTATGTGGAGCCACATGGGTAATCTGGGATAATCTCCTTTTTTAAGGTCAGCCAATTAGTAACCGAAATTCCTTCTGCCGCCTTAAATCTCCTTTGCCACATTCTATGTCCATCGGTTCCAGGGATTAGGCTGTGGACATCTTTGGGAGGCCTTGTTCTGCCTACCATACCCACTGTGAGTGGGCTGCAGTGTGAAAAAACAGACACAAGCCCTCACCCTGGGCTGACATTCTGCGGGGGGAGAGACAGGGTGTGCTGCAGTGCTGGGCAGGGGTAAATGCCGTGGGAGCAGAGAGCTGGGCGGTGTTCACACAGAGTGACAGGGCCAGGAGGAGGTATTAGTGTCAGGAGAAGGCATCTCAGGGGGGCTTCCCCTTCTGCAGGGCCTTGGGAAAAGGGTCCTGGGAAACTGGTCCAGGCAGAGGAAAAGCAATTGCAAAGACCCTCCGGCAGGACATGTGCAAGGAGCAGCCAGCACCCGGGTGTCAGAGACCTAGAGTCCACTCTGAATCAGCACTGCCCGCCCCACCCTGCCCCGCCTTCCTATTGTTTGGTTGCAGACCAGTCTCATCCTGTAAGATTGGATCAGATAAATGTTTGTGCCTTTGAACTTCTGAGGTGGTGTGGTTGCTACTGAGGAACTCTCCCCGCACAGCTCTATGTATACATGGACACAGTCATGCTGTCAAGTTTGGAGGAGGGACTGGAATCCTTACCTATGCCCAGCCCCACCCCCTGCAGACCTTGCTGAGTAATCTACAATTCATTTCCATTTATCTGCTTGATTCTACCCCTTATGCTGGAGCCTGCACAAACCATCTCCCAGTCCATTCTAAACACCTTTCAGGTTTCAGCTCAAAACATTATCTGCTCAAGAAAGCTTTTCCTGCCCTAGCTGGTCTTGCTCAGTGGATAGAGCATTAGCCTGGGGACTGAAGGGTCCTGGGTTTGATTTTGGTCAGTGGCATATGCCCAGGTTGCAGGCTTGGTCCCCAGTAGGGGGCAGGCAGGAGGCAGCCCATCAATGACTTGCTCTCATCATTGATGTTTTTATCTCTCTCCCTCTCCCTCTCTGAAATCAATAAAAATGTATTTTTAAAAAGGCCTTTCCTAACCTCTAGAATAGTATATGTTAGGTATACACTCTTATCATGCTGTATCATATTTCTAACTTGATTTGTACCAGTCTCTTCCTCTATAATTTGCTCTTTTTGTGTCTTAAAAATACTTTCTCTACTTCTGAGGTTACTAAGATATTCTGTATTTCCATTTAAATGAGTGTGCTTCAAATTTAGATCTTAACTTCCTGGAAACTAGCTTTTGTGTATGGTGTGAGATCGGGATCTGTACTAGTTTTCTATTGCCGCTGTAACAAAATTGCCACAAGTTTAATGACTCTAAGCTATACACATTTATTTTCTTACTGTTCTGCAGGTCAGAAGCCCAAACTCAGTCTCTGGGCCAAAATCATGTGGCACAGGCCTGGGTTCCTCGAGCAGTGGTTCTCAACCTTCCTAACGCCGTGCCCTTTCATACAGCTCCTCACGTTGTGGTGACCCCCAGCCATAAAATTATTTTCGTTGCTACTTCATAACTGTAATTTTGCTACTGTTAATGAATCGTAATGTACATATCTGGGTTTTCCAATGGTCTTAGGCTCTACAGCAGCGGTTCTCAACTGCGACCCACAGGTTGAGAACCACTAGCAGGGTCACCTAAGACCATCAAAAAACAAAGATATTTACATTACGATTCATTAACCGTAGCAAAATTACAGTTATGAAGTAGCAACGAAAATAATTGTATGGTTGGGGGTCACAACGTGAGGAACTGTATTTTTTTTTAAATATATTTTATTGATTTTGTACAGAGAGGAAGGGAGAGAGATAGAGAGTTAGAAACATCGATGAGAGAGACATTGATCAGCTGCCTCTTGCACACCCCCTACTGGGGATATTCCCGCAACCAAGGTACATGCCCTTGACCGGAATCAAACCCAGGACCCTTCAGTCCCCAAGCCGACGCTCTATCCATTGAGCCAAACCGGTCTCGGCAGGAACTGTATTAAAGGGCACGGCATTAGGAAGGTTGAGAACCACTGCTAAGGTTCTAAGGGAGAATAATTTTCTTGACTTTTCTGGTCTTCAGAGGCTGCCAAGTTCCTTGACTGGTGGCCCTGCATCACTCAATCTCTGCTTCCATTGTCACGTCTCTGTTTCCCTCTTCCCCAGAGGAGGACCCTTGTGATTACATTGCGCTCACAAATAATCGGGATAATATTACCATCTCAGGATCGTTCATCACATCTGTAAAGGCCATGCTGCCATGTGTAAGCTAACATAGGTGCTAGGGGTTAGGATGGGGACAGCTTTGGGGAACCGTTATTCTGCCCTTCACAGAGTCCCGCCCATTTCGTTTCCCCACCTCCACTAACTCACAGACTAGTCTGTCCTTCCCCACTCACCTACAGCAGCGGTCGGCAAACTGCAGTCCACAGGCAAAATCCAGCCCACTTGATGTTTTTGAAATAAAGTTTTATTGGAACCCAGCCACAAATTCATTAATGCGTCATGAGTGTGGCTGCTTTTGCACTACAACAGCAGAGTTGAGTAGTCATGGCAGATGCCGTATGGCCTGCAAAACCTGAAGATATATACCATCTGGCCCTTTACAGGAAAAGTTTTCCAACCCCTGGTCTACAGGTGGGGGTTGTCCCATATCAGGACCAAGGCTCCCCACTTGTTCTTTTTTTTTTTTTTTTTTTAATATATTTTATTTATTTTTTACAGAGAGGAAGAGAGAGAGAGAGAGAGAGAGCTAGAAACATCGATGAGAGAGAAACATCGACCAGTTGCCTCTTGCACACCGCCTACTGGGGATATGCCCACAACCAACGTACATGCCCTTGACCAGAATCGAACCTGGGACCTTCCAGTCTCCAGACAGACGCTCTACCACTGAGCCACACCGGTTTCAGCCCCACTTGTTCTTCAACATGGACGTGAGCTGCTTCTTTTTTTTTTTTTTTCATGTTTTTTATTTTATTTTTTTAACTCAATCTTTATTGTTCATATTATTACAAAGGTTCCTCATTTCTTCCCCCCCTCCACCAGGTTCCCACCCCACCCTCCGCCCCCTCCCCATCTCCCATTGTCCTCATCCATAGGTGCACAGTTTATGTTCAGTCCCTTCCCGCATCAACCACTCCCCCCTTCCCCGAGAACAGTCAGTCCACTCCCCTCCCATATCGCTGACTCTACTAAAATCAACAGCTAATATTGTTCATCAGGTTTTTCAATCTCCTTTTTTTTTGTTGTTGTTGTTTTTAATTAATAAACTTTTACACTTCTAAGAATAAATTTTAAAGGATGTAAGCTTCTTTATCATTGCTTGACTAGTGACTGGCCTCCTCACCATCCTACTAAACCAGGTCTATCTTATTTACTGCTGTATTCCTAATACCCTATTCAGGTCTTAGCATACAGTAGGTGCTTAATGTGCAGGATGAAGAGCAGTTCAATGTTAACTCAATCACCTGGTTTTATAGTGAGAGAAACTGGCTCTCAGAAGGAAACTGACTTGCCCAAGATGGTGATGCTGGCACTTTACAAGGGCCTTATAACACCCCCATTTTATAGATAAGGTATCTGAGTCCAGAAATGTGCCCAAGGTTGCCCAAGGCCCCTCGGCTCATACTCAGTGGGTCAGGGCTGGCTCCGAAGCTAGGACTTCACCTACTATCAGCAGTATGCCCCTTGTTCTGGCTTTTATCATTTATATCTTGGGAATCTTCCCACATCGGTACACACTGAGCTGATTTCTCCCCCCCCCCCTACAGCGACATCTACCGTTCTATGGCTGTATTGTAATTAATTAGCTGGTCTCGATTGATGAACACTTGGGTTGTTTCCCATCTTTGGGCTACAGCGAACATCCTTGTCCTTAGGCCTTGTTCACATGCTTGAGTTTATTTATAGGATACATTCTTAGAAGTGGAATAGCTGACATGAGCAGGTGTGCATTTAAGTATTTCATAGGTATGGCCAAACGGCCAAAATGGAAGCACCAATTTAACGTACAACAATAGGAGCGAGGCTGTTTCCCCACCGTGCTAGCAGGCTTCGTACCTTTGCCAAATGAATGTTCAGTTCTTCCCCACCACAGCTCCAGGTCCATGGTTCGGGGCCGGTTAGCTCTCTGTGGTTGACACATTCTCTCCCCTTCCCCAAAGTGGGTGAGCAAAGAGCTCCTCCACCTTTTAAGTTAGAGCCCAGCACGTAGGAGGGGCCAACCTCCCTGCCAGCTAGGAGAGGCAAGCCTGGTTTAGAGATGCCCCCTCAGTGTTCACTGGAGCTGGCGGCAGAGGGCGCCAGTGAGCCGAGGGGAGGGCTCACTCCCGCTCCCCCTGGCCCTCCGCCTGGTGGTGGCTGCGCTGGTGAAGGAGCAGGAGGCGTCTCTGGCCGAAGGCCTGGCCGCAGCTGGAGCAGCGATGTCGCCGGGCGGTGGCCCGGCTGCTGGGCGCGGTGGGGGGGTCGTGGCACAGGCGGTGGGCGGCCAGTTTGGAGGGGAACGAGAAGGCCTTGGGGCAGTGTGGACACGGGTAGGGGCGGGCCTCGGTGGCGTGGTGCGTGTGTCGGTGCGCAGCCAGTTTGGAGGGGTAGCAGAAGGACTTGGGGCAGTCCGGGCACGGGTAGGGGCGGGCGGGCGCGTGCGTCCAGAGGTGGGCGGCCAGCTTGGAGCGGTGGCCGAAGGCCTTCGGGCAGTGCGGGCACGGGTGCGGGCGGGCGCCGCTGTGCGTGAGGCGGTGGGCGGCCAGCTTGGACGGGTAGGAGAAGGCCTTGGGGCAGTCGGGGCACGGGTGGGGGCGGGCGCCACCGTGCGCCAAGCGGTGCGTGGCCAGCTTGGACGGGTACGAGAAGGCCTTGTCGCAGTCGGGGCACCGGTGCGGGCGCTGGGGCGGGGGGCGGCGGCGGGGTCGCGACGGCGTCTCTGTGGGCGCAGCAGGCCCCGGAGCCGACTGGAGGGGCTTCTTGGACAAACCCTGCTGGCGACCTGGGGTACAGGAGGGCTGTTGGGCTCCTGGCTGCAGCCAACTCCCCAAATCTAGTCTAGGCTCCCCTGCCCTCGCCCCACTCTGATATGTGAATGTATCTGGGCACCTCAAGGGTCATCCTGGAATTCCTCAAATGGCATGTTTCTGCTCTCCAGCCGCTGCCATCCATCATCCTAAACGGTTCCAAAGCATTACCTGCCTGCATCCCCAAAGCGAAGGCTTTCTCAAACTGCTTCTAGTATTCCCCCAAGGGAGCACCCTGAATTCTTGCATGCCATCCTCCTTTGCCCCTCCTGTAATCTCCTGAGTCCTAGAAATGATCACGAAGGCCCGCGCAAAGCCAATCCAGGACTCCCCAGAACGTCACACTTTAGGGGATCCCAAACTGTCATCACCCTGGGCTCTCAAACTTTCACCCTGAGATATTCTCGAAATGAGATTCTCATCTCCCTCCCCCCCCCCCCCCCCAGGGCCGCTCTCACCTCCGCCTTTGGTCACTGGCTCCTGGCCTGCAGGACGAGAGTCTGTGGCCTCAGCCTCCGGCTCTGCGTCTCGCTCCAGCATCTTGCTGGCCCAGGAACCTAAAGGGGGGCCCAGGGAGGTGGAGGGGCTTCGCTGGGGGTTATCAGGCAGATGGAGCTAGGGCTGGAGGCCAACCTGTTTAAGGAGCCTGGTGCTGTTTAAATCTGGGATCCTAAGCAAGGCTGGGAGTTGCTGGAAGGCGGAGCCTAAAAGCACAGTGGGCGGAGCCATGCAAATGAATGCAGAGGCATTCCCTTTGCCGGAGGCTCCCAGGGCTGGAGCCTCCCAGCGGAGTAGCTTGAACTCAGCGCTCCTGGGTGCAGGGGGCGGAGTCTCTGTCCAGAATGGGCGGCGCTATGCAAATAGGACCCCAAGTCTGCAGCTCTGCAGCTCAGGCCCAGGGGCGGGGCCTAAGAACTCAGTGGGCGTGTCTCTCACAACTTTCCCTGGAGAGGGACCCAAGAGCTCCGGCGGGATTTCAGGTCAAAGAGGTGTCTTTACCTTTTGGCTTAGCCTCAGTCCATTGACGCCAGGAGGACCGCTAAATTTCTTCCCCTCTGCTAAATGGCATCCCCGGTGTGGAGGTGAAGCCGTAGAGGGTAGAGAGGAGACCTGGAGGGGGACAGAGAAAGAAGGTGGCGCCCGGGCCTCGGGGTCAAGGCATTCGGACACCAGAACACCCTCCCACGGCTCAGGCACCGAGGCAGCCCCACCGGAACCTATGCATCAGCATCCCAACCGACCCCACCCCGGGAGATTCTCATCCATTTCCCCAAGACCCAAGCCTCTGGGCCCAGACCCTGGCACTCTCACCTGCGGGCTGCACCTCCCCGGGGCGGGGCGGCGGGCCCTGCTCGCGGAGGCCGAGGTCGCAGCCCCGCTGCCCTCGGATGCGACGGAGCTGCGCCGCACGCCGTGCGCCCAGCGACCGGAGGGCCGGGCAGGGCGCGCTCGACAGCGGCGGGGTCCAGCCTCATTGCCATCCCCTCCTCCCTGCGGTGCCGGTGGGGGCGTCCGTACGCAGGCGCAGTCGCGGCCGGGGAGACAGAACCGGAGGAGGGTGGGTGCGCCAGGCAGCCTCGTTGGTGAGCAGGCGCAGAGCTGCGGGCCGAGGACGGCAGGAAGGGGTACAGAGGTTTGCGGGGGGCCTACGGCGGCTGACGGGAGTCAAGAACGTGCGAACGGGGAGACGCTGCACTTAGCCCTCCCTGAGACGGAAGGCGCCCAGCACAGGCACCTTGGCTTTTCTTTCCTTCCTTCCTTTTCTTTCTTTCCTTTCTTTCTTATATATTTTATTTATTTATTTATTTATTTATTTATTTATTTATTTATTTATTTTTACAGAGAGGAAGAGAGAGGGACAGAGATTTAGAAACATCGATGAGAGAGAATCATCCATCAGCTGCCTCCTGCACACCCCCCACCGGGGATGTGCCCGCAGCCAAGGTACATGGCCTTGACCAGAATCGAACCTGGGACCCTTCAGTCCGCAGGCTGACGCTCTATCCACTGAGCCAAACCGGTTTCGGCCACCTCGGCTTTTCTGCGCCCGCTTCCTTCGGGGCATTCCCCCGGGAGCCCGCGGGCCCCTCCGGGTGCAGTTTGTACAGCCCGCTGCCCGCTGCCCGTGCTCGCCGGCGCTGCAGGATTTTGCAAAAAGCCTGGCTGATCTCGGGACGGTGGGCGGGGCGGCGCTAACGCCCAATAAAAGGCACCTTATTTGCATAGCGCCCAGGCGCCCTTCGCCATTGGGTAGTTCAAGATTCCCTCGCCCCGCCCACTCCAGGGGCGGGACCCAGGGGGGTGAGGGAGGGCAGCGGCCGCGAGGTGCCCAGGCCGGCGTTTCCCCAGGGGTTGGAGCGCCCGGGGCCACTCCTGGAGCGGCGTGCTTTGCATCCTTCCGCCGCTCACCTCCCGGGAGTGAGTGCCCGGGAAGTGCCCACAGAAATCTCCTGCGTGGTGGTTCTTCAGCCACCAGGTCTGCGAGCCCTGGGAGCGGAGGGAGTTCCTCCGAGGGGTGATTTGGGCTCCGGAGCCAGACTGCCTGGAATCTTGGCCCTGCCGCTTTCTAGCTGTGTGACCCTGGGCAAGGCACTTCTTTTTCCTGGGCCTCAGTTTCCTCATCTGTACAATCCAGGTTGTTGGGATTAAATTCAGTAATCAATGGGAAGTGTTTAGAACGGTGCCCAACAAATTAGTTCTACCTCAGGGCCTTTGCACCAGCTGTACCCTCTGTTTCCAAGGCCCTTCGTCCATCAGCTTGTTTGCTGATTCCCCCTTCCGGTCTCAGTTCAAATATCGCCACTGCAGAGGCCTCCCTGCCCACCCTGTCTCACAGAGCCCCCTCCCGCCATCACTCTGTGGTCTTGTCCCCTGTATGCACTTACCGTTGTATACCCGTCTTCTAGCGTGTATGCTCTGTTAAGACGGACAACTTATCTGTCTGGTTAATTTCTCTGCCCCTGAATCCAGAACAGCGCTTAGCACATATTAGGTGTTCAATAAATTCGTGTCAAATGAATGTTTGAAAGAATCAACAGCCAGAAGCCCTGTGTAATAAGGCAGAATGATGGAGAAAATTAAGAACTTTAGGCCAAAGAGTTGGCAAGAGGTCTAAGCTGAATGGGAAACCAAGGGAGGGTTTTAAACACAGAAAGTGATACGAACTGGTTTAGGTTTTCATATACTTTTTAAAAATATATATTTTTATTGATTTTTTACAGAGAGGAAGGGAGAGAGATAGAGAGCTAGAAATGTCAATGAGAGAGAAACATCGACCAGCTGCCTCTTGCACACCCCCTACCGGGGATGTGCCCGCAACCAAGGTACATGCCCTTGACCGGAATCGAACCTGGGACCTCTCAGTCCACAGACCGATGCTCTACCACTGAGCCAAACCGGTTTCGGCTTTTTTTTTTTTTTTATTGAACCATATTGTTAGGTTATGGAACATTTCAAACATACACAAAAAAGAGAGGGATCAGAAGAGTAATTAACCCCATAAACCCATCACCCAGGCTCAGCACGGCCAAATTTGTTTCATCATCCTCTCAACATCCCTCCTTGAGCCTACTAAGATATTTTGGAGCAAATTCCAGATATTTCACCCAGAAACACTTCAGTCTGTGACAAAAAAAAAAAAACCAAGATCTCTCTCCTTTAAACATAACAACAATATTGTTATCACACCTTTCAAGTTTCAGAGTTGTTTCTATGTTATCAGCCCACCGTGTTCAATTTCCCCTGATAGTCCCAGGTGAATTTGAACTAAGCGGGTCAATTGAAAAAAAAAAATTCACATCCTCATTGTTCAAGGATCACCTGAGTATCTTTTTTTTCTTTTCTTTTCCAAACACAATGTTACACTCTATTTCAAACATTCAGAGAATTCAAGGATAGAACTGTTCTCTGCATTAATAACAGAATTGGCCAGCATCAACAATTATCCAGTCACGGCCAATGCTGTTTTATTTCCCCCACCATTCCTCCCAGATGATTTTAAAGCTATATGCCAGGCATCATAACTCATAAATATCTTTTTATTACACCTGCTTTGTTTGGACCAGGATCTAAACAGGATCCACACGTTGCATTTGTGTGATGTGATTCCAGTTTCTTTTTCCTGGCCCTCTTAAAAGGCAAACGCTGGCTGCTGCACGGAAAATAGATTGTAGGGAGGCAGAGTGAAGAGGCGGTGAGATATTAGTTATAATATAAATTGCCAGCATTTAGTTAGCACTTTAAAAATATATGTATATTACACCAAAACCGGTTTGGCTCAGTGGATAGAGCATCGGCCTGTGGACTGAAAGGTCCCAGGTTCGATTCCAGTCAAGGGCATGTACCTTGGTTGCGGGCACATCCCCAGTAGGGGGTGTGCAGGAGGCAGCGGATCGGTGTTTCTCTCTCATCAATATTTCTCTCTATCCCTCTCCCTTCCTCTCTGTAAAAAATTAATAAAAAATATATATATTAAAAAAAAAAAAAAAAAAAAGCCGGGACAGGTTTGGCTCAGTGGATAGAGCGTTGGACTGCAGACTGAAAGGTCCCGGGTTCGATTCCGGTCAAGGGCATGTACCTTGGTTGTGGGCACATCCCCAGTAGGGGGTGTGCAAGAGGCAGCTGATCGATGATTCTCTCTCATCGATGTTTCTAACTCTCTATCCCTCTCTCTTATTCTCTGTGAAAAATCAATAAAATATATTAAAAAAAATATATATATGTATATTTTTATTCACCCCAGAGATGAAGGGAGAGGGAGAGTTAGTAACACGAATGTTGAGAGAGAATCATTGATCTGCCTTCTGCATGCCCACCACTGGGGAACTGAGCCGCAACCCCGTACCCGAATCCACCCTTCAGTCCACAGGCCGATGCTCCATCCACTGAGCCAAACCAGCCAGGGCTAGTTAGCACCTTTTATATACCAGAAACTGTTCCCGGTGATTTATTTGCATTCATGCATTTAATACAGGGGTGGGGAACCTTTTTCCTGCCAAGGGCCGTTTAGATATTTCTAACATCATTCTCGGGCCATACAAAATCACCAACTTAAAACTTAGCCTGCTATATCTGGTCAGGTATTTAATGAACGCACCCTTAATGCCTTGGCAGGGCCAGACCGAATGATTTCACGCCTGATATGGCCCAAGGGCTGGATGTTCCTCAGCTCTGAAACCCACAGCAACTTTCTAAAAGGAGGCACTACTATTATCCTCATTTTACAGAAGACGGAAATGAGGGAAGAGGCCACTTTCCCAAGGTCACACAGTGTCACCCCCTGCAGCCTGGCCCTGGAACCCAGGTAATTTGCATTTATGCTGCCTTTGGACTTGGGGGGGGGAGGGGGTAATGCTGGGAAAGTGGCCTGAGGGGAGGTGAACTCAACAGGGCTTACTGATGAATTGGGAGGAGGTGGCAAGACAAGGAAAGGGTGCAGGGTCGTTGGAGTGGGCCTAGGACAACACTGAATCTCCAAAAACTTTGCAAACATGACAAGAAAGCAGTTATTATGGTGACTAGACTGAACGTTAGACACATAGTTTAGAATTCACATCACTGCTATCGGCACCAGGAGAAATGCCTTCCTTCTATTGAGGTAGTTGTGCCCCTTCCCTTTCTCATACTCATTGCCTTTGTCTCTTAATCGGATCATTATTTGGGCTTCTGCCTGAGTTAATAACTCTTGGATAGCTGTTCTAATTGATAAACACCCGTTTGCCTCTCAAAAAGAAAAGAACATCTCACAGAGCTGACCCTAGGTAAACCCCAAAGGGTGTTTGGGATTAAACCGTGGGCAGGGTTCTAAACACTTTCCCTAAATGGGGGTGCAGGGGTGCCTGTGATAGTCATCTGGCCACTGTCATGTCCAGCAGGCCTTTGAGCCTTCAAGGAACAGGTTACTGGCTTAGCAATTCTGCCAAAACATCAGGAATGGGTGCCCCAGGGGTGAGGAGGTCTTATTTGGGGGCCCCTCATATCAAAGATTGCCTGAGAGTCCCCATTTTGCTGGTCCCCCTCCCTCCCTTGAGCTCCTGGAAGTCCCTTGTTTTAGCCCTGATGTCTGTGCCTCTCTCCCCATTCAGATTAAAGACTCACCTCTGGAGCGGCCAGGCTCAGAGCAGCGGCTGCCAGGCTGGGAGCGGCCAGGCCCGGAGCAGCCGGGTCTGGTGCAGCCAGGCCAGGAGCAGCGGCTGACAGGCTGGGAGCAACCAGGCCCGGAGCGGCCGGGCCCGGAGCAACCGGGCCCAGAGCAGCCGGGTCGGGTGTGGCCAGGCCTGTAGCAGCAACAGCCAAGTCCAGAGCAACTAGGTCGGGAGTGGCAGTGACCAGGCCCGGAGCAGCCGGGTCTGGTGTGGCCAGGCCGGAGCAGTGGCTGCCAGGCTGGGAGCGGCCAGGCTTGGAGCAGCCGCTGCCAGGCTGGGAGCAGCCAGGCCCGGAGCGGCCGGGCCCGGAGCAACTGAGCCCAGAGCAGCCGAGTCGGGTGTGGCCAGGCCTGTAGCAGCAACAGCCAAGTCCAGAGCAACTGGGTCGGGAGCGGCAGTGATCAGACACGGAGCAGCTGGTTGTGGAACGAACCAGAGCAACAGAGGCCAGGCCCGGAGCAGCCTGGCCCAAAACAGCTCACTCCTCACCTGCCCCTGCCCCACGGCTGCCTCTCAGACATGGCTGGAAACTTTTGCGGGAACTTGAGGGTCTGCTGAATCAAGTGATGAAGGCTTAGATCTGGATGTGTTGAGTTAGTATAG